GCTTCTTATTCTTAGACTGGATTCACATCAGCAATGTTTGGTTCACTTTAATCAAAGTCCAGTCCGTTTGCCTCGAAAGTCTGGTTTGTCTGGGAAGACCAGAGTTCGACCAAAAAGCAAACTGGATCTTGGTTCAGTAAACTCTGGTGTGGTTTAAATTCATATTTCAACATCGAGCGGACCAGAGGCCACTCCAAAAGCAGAAGTGGACTACAGTGCAGGGTATTCTGGGTAGTTACAACAAAAACAATCATGCTAGCAGCAGATATTGCTATCAAGAAGCACATAAACTTCAGCTATTACAAGTAGAAGCTGCAAGGTCAAATAGAGACAGTGACAAAGTTGGTCTTCTGGTTCTGTCATCATCAAGCAAACACACATCTTAATCTGCAAGCAACATTCAGCTTCTCTGAGTTGAGAAGTTTTCTGTAACAAACTCCCAGAAATCTTCTCAAAACAGCTAAAAACACCAAGTTCTTGACGGAGGACACCAACATATGGTGAAGAGGGTCATTGGTTTGTTTTGTGTCTAAAAGCCTCATGAAGCTCTCTGTCTCTCTCTCTCTGTCTGACTGGACAGATAAACTCACCGCTCTCCCTCTGAGGCGCCTCTCATCTCGTGATGTTTCTGAAACCTCTTCATGAACCGGAGACGTAGCCTGACCTCTGACACCTGGTTTAAGAGGACAGATATCCCAACTCATCCACTGGAGCCAGGCTGCCCAAAGTAGGGTCAGCATCCTGCATGTTTTAGTTCTCTCCATGGTGGTAGTAACAACCTTTCCTCCATGTCAATGCTCTTCTTCTAATGAGCCACCATTTGATCCAGGTGTGTTAAACCAGGGAGAGAACTAAACTATGCAGGCTGCCGGCCCTCAAAGACCAATTTGACTTTGGGCACCACTGCAAAGAAGCTCATCTTAGAAGCTTTAGAAACACCATTATTAATAAAGTCAGGAGTTATAGCATAATTTTCTAATGAAGTTGCAAAGCTTCAGCTCAGTGATAAGCCCCTCACCACCTTTAATGAAGCCTATAGAGTGTGATGCTAACCAACCGAGGTAAAGAGAAAACAAAATAAATTTATTTCAGCTTTTATTTTTAAGTATATCAGTTGTGGAGGCCAAGTTAATGTGAAGTAATATTCAGTTATTGTTAAAACATTTTGTTTAATATGTAATTTAATAAGTGAATTTATTTAAGTTTAGGAAGAATTATTAGTACTGCATGTAGCTAATTTTGTAATGTTTTGTTGTCAATGAGTGTTTTATTTTAAGTTGTATGTTTATAGTTTAAGTGTCCATTTCGCAATTTATGCAAATGAGGTGTGGACACTGTAGCGTTAACAAGAAAGAAAGGAAAGGCGCTGCTAGTTTATCTACAGAGCCACACGGTTTTTCAACCGTAGTTTGTTTGTGAAGGTTAGATAAGATACAACTGCTCTTGTAAAGGATATCTCACAAAACTGTGGAATAAATTTTTGTTTTGCATCCTTATTTCGGAGCGCTGTGGAAGTTTTTATTTTCCTCTACAAACACGCGAGTGGATACAGCAAAGAAACCTTGTGGCAACACATCAGTGTTGATCCTCCATAGCAGAGCACTATAGTTCTAAAATGTTGTATAAATGTTCATTTCTCATCTCAGTTATCCTTTGTGTTGCTCTATAAAGTCTTCTTGAGGCTGACAGATGAAAAGCTGCTAATATTTTATAGCTCGGTTGTTTCTGAATCCCATTAACATGTAGAGATCAGCGGGCGTCTGAGTGCTCTCAGCATCCATTTGCAGCTAGAGAGGCTTTTAAACAGACAGATGGAGGACTGGATGTTTGGGATCTGCTGCAGGCCAGGTGTGGAAACGCTCCACCAACAGCTCGGATCATCCCTGCAATCCGTCGAGAGCAACAAACACCCACACAGCCTCCTGGAGTACAACACCTTTTCCTCTCCACCGCCTACATCTCCCACTCCCTGCCTCTCTTCCACCGGTTCCCGCCTCGGATGTTTGGGTGCAGATCAGAGGCCGGACAGCTTTTGCAGAGGTGGCACCTCTGCTGGAGTTGCAACAGTCTAATCTAGTCCATGAGTAAGACTTAATTCTGTCTGTGGAAGCTAAATGTGCTGCTCTGTGCTGCCACCAAGTGGTCAGGAGAAAACACAGCATCAACAGAAACCGTCAGGTTGTTGGGAATCTCTGAAAAAAGTGTGTGATGCATATTAAAACCACAAGCAAAAGTTTATCTTAATAATTAATGATCAGTAAATCAACAGATGGATGAATGTATTGGTCTGATGTTTTGCTGTACAGTCAAACAAAAAGAAGAAGAATGGGGTTTCATTTGAAAGGTTATACTGTAAAAAAGCAACAGCTACAATTTGTTGTTGCAAATTTAACCTCTAAAAATGTGGATGTTTTTAAAGTTATATCTTCACCATGTTAGTCAAACATAGATTTCAAAGTTTCAAACTAAATATTAAATTTTAAAGCAAAATATTTAGTAGCAAACTAAATATTTATGTCAAAATTTTACATTTATTTTACTAATTAAAATAAATATGTTTGTAGCTCAAATTTTGTTTTATATTTATTTTGCTTCAAACTAAATATTTATTATCCAAAACTAAATATCTAGCAACCAAGCTAAAGGTACACTTATTTTAACTAATGTTAATAATTTATTGTAACTATTTTATAACTTAGCATTTTATTTAAAAAAAAATATTAGATACAATTTTCTTGTCTCTCTACTGCCTCCTAGTGGCCTCCACTTTTAATAACGCAGCTAAACAAAAGTATTGATTCAACAATGACAGAAAATAACTGGAATTATCAGCAATACCTCTGCACTTTAAGATCAATTATAATGTTTATACAGATGATGAAAGAAGAAGAATGCAAAAAAAAAATTGTATAATCCTAAATTTCAGTTTCTCAGATTTAGGGCTGCAACTAGTTATCAATTAATCTATCAATAATTCCACCGATTAATTGGATAAAAGACGTTTTTTAATGCAATTAGATAAAAATAGAAGAGAAGTTCTGTGTAGAACATATTTATCTTAAATACAAAATGTATATATTTTGGGCAGTTTTGGCTTAAATACTGTTTAAATACTCAACCTTTTTGAGTCTGTATATTTCAGTTAATGATTAAATGATTACAAAATTAATTGACAATTAATTCAATAATCAATTAATCACAATTAATTTGATTCATCATTCCAGTTTGATTTGTCATATTCCATATTTCTGTGTGTTTTGTCCTTTTGTTTTTTAGGAGTAAAAAAAGAAGTGAGTGAAATTAAGTACAGCTTCCAGGCAGCTTTTCTGCTCCACTTCCTCCCAGAGCTGACATCAGACTTAAATTCTGCCACGCTGAAAAACACCAAAAAGCAAAAAGACCAAACAACAGAAAACTAGATTTAAGAACAAATGAATGAAAAAGAAAATTTTTTGCGAAAGCCTTTCCTCTTAAGTCCTCTTGTTGTACTTGTCTCAGGAGGAAGATGCGATAATATGAGGGGGACAGAAAGAAACAAGCTAATAAAAGATGAAAGTTGGAGCTTCATTTGAAAAAAGAAAAAGAGGAACCAGCTTTGTGGGCAAATGTCTCTCAACACTCCATACTGATCCTTGTTGCAGCCAGCTCTGGTTTCTATGGAGAGTCCGCCTACACAGCCAGCAGTGAAGGCAACACAAACGCGCTCATAATGCCAATCTTCACCCACTCGGCATCCACTGTTTTAAATGCCGCTGCCTCCCGTCTCCTGTTCCCTTGTGTCTGCAACGCACTGAAAATCTCCTCATCCTTCCAGTCTGGAGCTCCAGATTTTATGTAACCAGAAACATTTGTAAAAGAGTAGGCAGTTTCTACTGGAGGAGGAAAACAGCTCCCATCTTCCTGTGATTCTGTCAGAATCAACTTACCATTACAGAAAAGCAAACTGAGCTTCTGCAGTCATTAGCTGTGCATCCTGTTAGCCTTTAGCATAGGTTGGGGCTTGTATGGGATATTTTTCTCAAAACCTAAAGTTTTATCACAGATGTGTTCTCTGATTCTGATGGAGATATTATCAATTCAAAACGGGTGTTTCTTCCCACTATTGCCATGTGTTTGCTCAGTAGGAAAAATAGCTGCAAAGTCACTGACTCAAAATAGTAGATTTTTAATTACCAAAGATATATTTTATAAATTTGACAATATTATTTAAATGAATAGATTCTATTAATATGGACTAAATTTATTCAGGATAATATGGATTCTACTTGACCTGTCAGTAGACTGCCTTGAGATTAAATTTGATGTTACCTGCATAAACACAATTTCCAAGAGCTGTATTTACACACCTTTATCACTAAAATGCAACAACGGCTAAGATTTTAAAAGATTAATAAAACTGTTAATTTTTCTTGAATCTTTTAATGTGAAATTGTCATTTTGATTATAATAAATCTTATTTCACAAGCAAATGAAACACTGTAATGGTGTGAGAGATTCAGTGTTTTCAGAAAAAGTAGATGGCTTATTTCTTGGCCACACACCATATCTCTCTCTCTCTTTCTCTCTCTGTCTCTCTCTCTCTCTCTTACAAGCACGCACGCACGCACACACACACACACAGACCCACACACACACACACACACACTCTAAGAAAGACACATCAGATCATTCAATTCCACACAAGCTGATGTTTTCAAGCCTTTGTTTCTGTAAATTATTTTTGTTTTTGTGCTTCTGCTGAAATGTTACAAGAAGGATTAAAATGTTACATCAGACAAATACAAAATAATAAATTTTCTAATTCAGAAATGTCAGCCCCATGAGTGCTTTTAATGTGTGTATATGTCTGATGTAAAATCTTAATCCTAAATGTCACAAATATAGAGATTTTTCTTTTTTCATTTTAGTAGGACTAGTGCACGGTCCATTTGTTCTTGGTTCTCAAAGCGAATTTGACACTCACAATATGGCGGACGCGCTGCCGCATGAGTTCCACACGACAACAAGGAGGGTGTTGTGGTGTAGAGGGAGTCCAGCAAAGCTCCACTAGATACGCCTACTGCAGTCAGATTCTCCTAAACTAGTTCAGTGCAGCATCTACGATCGTACATCTGTTATCATTACGTAATGTTTGCTCTTGTTTTGAAGCCCTAATTTTGAAAGTCTGAGGCTACTTCCGGTTATCTCCAGCTAGCATCAGAAACATCACGATGGCAGCTGAGTCCGAGTGAGTTTACCGTTGATATTTCTGATATTTGTTCACAGATTACAAATGACAGAAGTAGACCCTGTTTTACCTTGACCAGCTCCAAACTGGCCGCTGTTTCCTTGGGAATACCTGGAAATTTGCCGCAGCCTTCAGCTAACGCGAGGCTAACCGGTTAGCTTTACTGTTAATAAAACTGTAAACAAGCTGAAAGTTTGTTTGTGTTCACAGGGTTCAGTCTGAGATCGAGGTGCTGCAGTCCATCTACCTGGAGGAGCTGCAGGTGGACAGGAGAGAGGACGGGTGAGGAAGTCCTGCTGGGATCTGGACAGAAAATTATGCTTTGTATGGAATAAACTATTAAAAAAGGCTAAAAAAATAATGTAGAATGTATTAATAATCCATAAATATCACCTGAGACAGTAAGTATGTCAGAAAAATGTTGGAAGTCAGGTCAAAGTTCATTTGCAGAAGAACCAATCTGTACTGGTTACAGAACCAATCTGTACTGGTTGGTTATAGACCAAAGCTCAACAGCTCTTTGCTATTGTTTGCAAAGAGCTGAACAGGGATATCAATTTATGACGGTGTTTTCCAGATTGTAAAACACCTATCCAGTCGTTATGATGCATTAAATGGTCTGAAAGTTGTAGCATTTAGTCTGTGTGTCTCGTTTGTGTTGCTGCAGGGGCTGGCAGGTGAGTCTGGTTCTGTATCCATCCACTGCAGAAGACTCTGTCTCCCAGTTTGTCCGACTCACTCTGACTCTGAACCTCGATCTGAAGGTACAACGACCTCCCACCCTGAATTAACACCCTTCTCTCTTCTCTTTCTGCCTCCAATCTGAGTTTGTGTGTTTTTGCTGTCAATCACATGTGAAAATTTCAGACACTTTTGTGTAAATTTGAGTATGATGCGAATTGGATTCACCAGGCACTTAAGAATGACAAACTCTTCAAACTCAGCATATTAATTATTTTATTGTTTGACTCAAAATGTTTTTGAACAACCATTGCAGGCTTTAAATGCAGCTAAATAAAGAAAAATGCTGCACTTTTCATGAGCCCGTAGCATGTTTTTTGCTATATAAAAATCAATTTCTATGGGTTTTTTTTAACAATTTGTTTTCATCCTGTCGTGTTTTTTATGATAAATATTTGTAAGATACAACTACTGTAGTACAATAGAAGCTTTTTCTCAGTTGTCAAAATAAATTTTAGAATTTTGGTCACATATCATTCAAAGAAGTAATTTTTTTCCAGAATCTGTTTTAGGATTAATATTTACTGAGTTTAACCAGCAAAATTCAGCGGTCGCCCCACTGCACACTTCCATGAACATGTAATTCACATTTCCACCACTAGATGGCGTCAAAGCACTTCTAATAGTCTGAACAATAATCTGTAGTGTCCATTTCCCCCATTTAATTATGTTCAAAAATATTTAACCACTTCTGGACTAATGAAGCTAATTAGCATCATTAGTCCAGAAGTGGTTAAAGGTGATTGACAAATTTTCTTTCATTTCTTCAGTATCCCTCGTCGTCTCCGGTCATCTCCATTCATAACCCACGCGGGCTCTCCGACGATAAACTCAGCAGGTGAAAACTTTGCTGCGCCGCCGTCACAGCAGCCCAGAGACTCGGTTTTTAATGATGATTTGGTTGTTTCTGCGCAGCGTCCAGAAGTGTCTCCAGGCGGAGGCTGAATCGTGGCTCGGCTCTCCGGTGTTGTATCAACTCATCGAGGTCAGAGCATAACGGCTTTGAATAAAAATCTGATTATTGGAGGCATTTTGTCATTTCTGTGACCCTCTGGTTTGCTTAATTTCTACACAGAAAGCTAAAGAAATCCTGACTGAAAGCAATATTCCTCATGGGAACTGTGTCATATGCCTTTATGGTTTCAAGGTAAGGTGTTTCCATCTCTGAAGGTTAGATCTGGTCATCAACCTCATGCCTCAGATTTGCTCGCGTAGGCCTGTCACAATAAACCAGTTAATCACATGATCAGTTAAAATAAGCTCAACAATTTCCATTTTCAGGATTTATTGTTTTTCTGTTTTCTCTCTTTCTACCAAAAACTGCATGACAAACGTCTTCAGATTTTTGCTTTGGTCTCAAACATCCTGACAGGCCTACTCTCTCTGCAAAAACAGAAAATCTATCCAGTTATTTTTGGTCTATTTTACAATGCACATGAAGTCAGACCAAACTAAAAAAGTAACTTTTCAGCAAGATATGAGTCATTAAATCTTCATTTTTGAGTAAGAAAGTACTAGTTCCACTGGCAGATTATTTCACTAAAAACATTTTCCCATGTTACAAATGAAATAATCAGTGGAACTGTATTTTTCTTAAACAACAAAAAACAAGCTCTTATATCGTGCAGAAAAGTTGCTGGTATGTTTAATTTTGTCCTACCAGTTTTGTCTTATTTCAAATATTTCTAACAGAAGCTAGACCAAAAAAAAAGATTTTGTTTTTTCGGTTCTGATGTGAGTTTATTTCTGTTTTCGGTTCTCAGGAGGGTGAGACCTTCACCAAGACCAGCTGCTACCATTACTTCCACTCCCACTGCCTCGGCCGCTACGTGGTCCACTCAGAGCGGGAGCTGCGGCAGAGGGAGAAGGAGCTGGAGGAGGATAAAACCAGAGATGGAAGCAGCGTTCAGGTCAGATACCAGCAGTTGGATGGAAGAACTCAAACAGTTTAATCAAAATCCTCCTAAATCTGGACTCTCCGCCGACAGGAGCTGACGGTGGTGTGTCCGGTTTGCAGAGAGCCTCTCACGTATGACAGAAACCAGCTTCTAAAATCTCCTGCACCTGAACTGCCTGAGGTAAATCAGCCAGCATGAAGCGAATCAAGAGCAGCTCTGAGCTGCAACTTGGTGAATAGAAGTAAAAATTTGGCAACAGACTATTACATTTTAGCCAGAAAAGGTGAACATTTTTTGATGTCGAAAGGTCGGAAATTTGTATAAAAAACTTTATAAGTGACACAAAACAGATCAAGTGCGTAAAAAAACAAAAACAGTTTTGGTTATAAAATTAATTTTGTCTCCTAGATTTACCACTTGAGTCTTAAAGAACTTCCTGCAAATTTCTCACTTCACAATTTTAGAAGTGATCATGGTTTTCAGTTCGGAGATCTATGCCCGTTGTGTGGAAATGTTTTGGAGTGAATGTTCTCCTGTGTGTTTGCATATTCTTGTGCCGATGTGCTGACCGTAGCGGTCAGGAGTCTAACGGCAGTTTCCTGTCAGCTCGATCAGGCGGCGATCGGCTCCGACTTTCAGAGGAAGTGGGGTCAACTCCAGAAGATTCTGGAGAAGCAGAGGTGCAACGGCGGGATCATCGACCCGGAGGAGGAATCCAACCGATTCCTGATCCACATCCAGGAGGTTGGGACGCCGTTCAGCCACCTGATTAATTCGTCAAGTCTAATTAAATCATTAAAACTGAGTCAGTGACCACATATTTTCACACTGTTTGAATAGTAATCACTAAAGAAATAACATCCTGTTTAAGGTCAGTTAGACTTACTATCATTTTTATTGGCTACGTATCACAATAATTGCTGTTTTTACAATAGAAATGATTAAAATTCCGAATTAAGCTAACTGTGCCCTTTGAAAAGGACAGCCAAAGCAAAAATGATGCCTTATAAGATTCAGTTGAGGTTATTGTTTCAACATTTGGGTTCATTTTCATTTGAGACATATTTCTCTCTTTAATTTCTGGAGGTTTGTCCTCTGAAGATGAAATGATTAAACTTTGATTTACAAATTCTGATGAAACAAACATTCATATTTGAAGATTTTAAAAAACTATTGAAAGAAAACAAGTTTTTCTGCTGTTTAGCTAATCTGAACTATCCTGACCAAAAATAAGTTATCAGATTTCGTCGTTTTCAACTGTAGATTAGATCGATAACACAAATTGATTATTGTATTAATTGTTAACTTGTGTGGCTGAAGCCTTCAGCTGGTTTTTAGCGACGCCTCTTGTCCTGTTTGCCTGGAACAGACAGAAAGTGTGAAATGGATTCCTCAAGGTGTGAAGCTGCTGGGAAAAAAAAGCTCCAAAATTAATGAATTGCACAATAAATTAAAACCAATTCAATGATTTATCATTTTTCTCTTTCTACCAAAAACTTGAAGACAGAAATCTTAGTCTTTTTGAGGTTTAGAGGCTAATTTTATTTGTTGTTTCTATTTAAAATATATTCCAGATCCAGTGTTAAATGTCCATTAGAATTTAAAGCTTATTGATGTTTGAGACAGTTTTTTGCATTAAATATTGCATTACTTCAAAACGGTCTCAAAACAACAATATAGTTTATTGCAATAACTTCTGGTACAGTTTATGATCCTAACAGATCCGGTCTCAGTTACCTCTGGTTCTGGTTCTGTTGTTCCTTGCAGACGCCTCCCGTGTCTGAAGACGTAAACCCGGAGGTCGATGCGTCCCCACCACCCCCGGTTTCCTCCTCCTCTGATGAAGCCGGCGTCCGATCGGAGCGGTTTGTTCCCGGACTGTCCCGGGTCCCAGGCTTCCAGGCCAGAGCGCCGAGAAGAGGAGGAAGACCCAAACCCCGTCATGGGCAGGGCCCCCCCATCACAGAGCACCTGGAGCAGCTCGCTCTGTCAGACTGCACCGACCAATCACAGGTGATCCTGGGAGACGGTGGCCAACAGACGCCGTGCCGGACCGGGTCGGGGGAGGAACCAGAGAAGCAGGTTCCTCCGACTGATTTAGACTGTGAGGTCCCAAAAGATGGAGCCAGGGGACACAGAGGGAGAAGAAGGGGCCCCTACCGGCCTGCCCCGCACCACTTTGGGGCTCCTGGGGCCCCACAACAGCACCGGGACAGCCGGGTCAGAAGTCGAGGAGGTGGCGGGCCTCGGCGCGGCCATTACACCCGGGGTCTCCAACAGAAGGTGGTGGAGCGGGGAAGAGAGGAATTGGTATGACAAAGGGCGACCAGAGGGTGGAGGAACGCCAGAACGCGAGCCTCCATCATCAGATTAAAACGCTGCGACAGAAAGGACTCTGGACACCGCCTCCTGTCCCGCTGTCTCCAACGCACTTTTGTCTTTTCTCCAGTTGTGTCCAGCTGGTCGCTGCTTTGTGATGTGATGCCAAACGGCTTAAAGAACTATAAATTAAATCTACTCTGGGTGTCAGTTTGGTGCAGTAGTCTCTTTCTATTGGTTCAGTTTATTCCATTTAAAAGTAGTTTTTTTGAAAAATATATAAAGTTTTTATTATGGATGTCGACTAATGGTTCATTAGATTAACATTAGTTTCCATGGATTACAGCTTCTTTTAATATGGTTTGGCCACCGTCCAATAGGGGGCGCCACTGATGATCATCACCTAATTTAAAAACTGATTTGCTGTGTAGGTGAAGATGAAACGACAGAAAAATGGAGGTTGAAGCAAAAAAGAAAAAAATTGTAACAAGATGGGGGGAAAACGTGCCATGACCTTAAACAGGATGGAAAGACCCCAACATGGCTGAAATAAAACATTTCTGCAAAGGAGAGCGATATGAGGCGTGTTTGTCAAACATACACACACACATGCAAACACTTTTATTTGAGCCCACATGTCTGTATTAAAATGTGCTGATGTAACATCCTAAATATGTTCAACTGGAAGCAGAAAAACAAAAAATAAACCTCAGTTTATGCTGAAGTAATGTAATGCCAGTGGTCATTTCCTCCAGACACGGATATCGGTTTGTGAAAGCCAAAAAGAAAGTCCAAGGAAGAAGTGATGATCTGGGTGGAAACAATCCTGCTCCACTCATCCCAGAAGAACTGAGATGGTTCTCCCAGTTAAAGAAGAATAGAGAAATGGACCAATATGGTCAGATGTGTGGACCACTGCTACACTTACACATAATAATTTAGCACAATTATTGTGCAAGTTGTAGTTTTGAGGATTCAGGTCTCAATGGGCTTACCTGGTTAAATAAAGGAAATAAATTTGTTGTTGAGCTACGATCCAAAACATTAACCTCTCAAACCTGAATATTTAAGAAAGTAAAAGTGACGGTTTGGCTTTCTTAGCCAAAAAACAAACAAACACATAGCTATTGACATATTGGTTTCCCCCAGGAAACCTGTTAAGCTTGATGGAAAAGTCAGTGAGGTCATCCATGAGCAACCTGCTGTGTTTTTGGAAAAAAATAAAATAAAAATTACATAAACATTCAAGTACATGTGAAGCCAAATGAAAACTGCAGGAACGGTGCGCCACTCTTCATGTCCAATGCTACAAACTGAGCTTAATCAGTTTGCAGTCAGTTACTGGTGTGTAAAAATCCCAATTTAAAAACAAACTTCCATTGTGTGATTTTGTCCGGTGGAAAAACTACAAAACATCAAGTCTGTATTCAGAGGATTTTTCCATTTATTCAACCCAACAATTGGAAGATATTAGCATTAGCACATAGCATGCGCTTCAGATCTATACAAAATAGCGTTAGCATCATGGTGATACCAAGCATTTAGCATGATAAAATGTTATACAAGTGTAAAAACTTTATTTTAAAACATCCATCATCATTAGTACAGAAAGAAAAGAAAAACATTTGAACAAGTAAAATGATTGTAGCAACATATAAAAGTTTCCTCTTTGCAGTACAACAAATAAAAGCAAAGAGGAAAAAGAATAACTTTATGACCTGGAGAAAACCTCTGACGGCTCCTCGGATCTGTGGGACACTCAAACCCCTCCACTGCGATAAGGTGACGGTTGTGGAGGGAAAAATAAAACCAGAAACAGTTGAACTGATCTAGAGAGGCCTGAAGGCGGCACTCTGGTGAGAGAACACGGTAGAGGAAGACCTGATGGTATTAACTGGTATAAAATGGCTGCCATCAATCAGCTTAGGGCCAGTGGTTTATTTCCATTTTCTTCTTTACAGACTGACATTGTACAAATCGGAATTATAAAGTTTTATTACATTTAGGGACAAACTAGACAGCGAGTAAGAAAACATGACAGCTACCATTTTGTAATCCGTTTTTTCTCTCTATAGAAGCTCCACCCGTCACCTCACCGTTCTCCCGCTCCGGTTAACGTTCCACTTCCATGAATGTAGAAAGTTCTCGTGACCAGCCGACCTGCTGTTGTCTCTGCTCTGTCTTCTCTCAGGTCCAGTCGGTCGTGGCAGATGGCTACAGATTCTGAGCCCGGTTCTGATTCTGCTGGAAGTTTCTTCCTGTTGTGAGAGTTCTTCCTCTCAACTGTCGGTCCGTGCAGGCTCGGTCTGAGGGATTGCTCTAAGGTTAACGACTCAACACGAGCGACTTGCTGTCGCCCCCTGCTGATCAGGAGGAGTGACTGCTGTAAGTCAATGACTCCATGCAGTCTGTTGGGTTTCCTTTGGTACAAACTGTTTACACTATTTAAATAATTAACTTAGCTTATTGTACTGTTAATTAATGCAATCGGAATATATCTGATTGAACTCAAATTATTTCAAAGGGCATTGAGACTACTTGCTGTGAATTGGCACTATATGAAATTAATCATTAAATTAACCCCAACAACAAATAAAACGAATATACCAACTCCAAAATTCCCAAATGCATATAAAATAAATAATAAATTTATATTTAATAATTAAATTGCTCCTGAAAGAATCTGCTTTGTTGCTGCTGACAGTTTTCAAAAAATGCAGTTTGGTTCCAGTAATCTATCATTTCCTTGTTTATGTATGTTAGCTCTTTTAATTAATTTCTCTGCACTCATTATTGCTCAGAAGTTATTTCCATACCAGTTTAATTCCTTTGTGTTTGGTTCCTAAGGGTGCATTCACACCAGCCCAGTTTAGTCTGCGTTGATCCAAATCCAGTCCGTTTGTTTGGGGATATATGAATGAACTGTGGTCCACCTGAAAACCCAGGACTCTGTTTGGCTGAAGTGAACTCTGATGCGGTTCATATACGTTATGTAAACGAGACTGCTCCAAAAGCAGGAATTGGATTGTACCACAATGCATTCTGGGTAAATTCCACCAAAAAAACCCCAGTGAGTCTAGCTAGCTCTAGCAGAGGAAATCGCTCTTTTAAAAAAGACAAAAGAGAAATCCTACAACTGCTAAAATCTGACGCTGGGCCATTTTTGTTACATTTTGTGAAGACGGAAGTTGTGCTCATTGTCTTCCTTAGAGGTTTATGTGTCGTTTCCTTCTGTGGCTGCAGCGCCACCACAGGCGAGGAGGGGAACTGTTTTTTAGGGTTTGGTTGGTTTGACTCAATGCAGTGAGAAAGAGAACTGCAGGAGCTGAAAATGTAACAAATGTTGTGATTTATCAGACTAACAGGCGTGAAAACACTCTTACTTTATTCTCTTGTCAGGCCTTCCTTATTGGTTTTCAGTTTCTCTTCAGTTTTACTTCTCGTTCAGCTGTGGTGTGAATTAATCTCACTCCCTCATTTCTTCTCTTTCTGACTGTTGCTGCACTTCAAATCGTAAACATGACAAGAATAATAATGAATAATATGATACAGAAGAGACGGATGACAGAGCAGAGAAGACACCAGGCTGGATTCATCGTTTCTTCTTGCTTCTGCATAGACAGATCCTCCAAAGCCCCAGTCTGAGGTGGAGATGTCTGTGCAGAGGAGGTTTGAGGCCCAGAGGTTCTGGTAGATGTTTGGTTTTTAGTCCTCCTGCACAAAAAAATGACACCCAGGCAGGGAAAAAATGATTAGCAGAGAACTGATGAGCGCGTGGCTTCCTGTGTGTGTGTGTTTCTGTGTGCGCGTCTGAGAAGACACACTACCTCACCTCTCATGTTTCAGTGAGAGAAGCAAAGCTGAAGACGGCAGACGGACCCAGAGAGAGGAAGACGAGCTGGAAAACACACCGATAGGTAACCGTCCTGCAGGGAATCGGATGTTTTACCGGGTTTAGTTTGGAAAAGCAGAAGGTAAGCTTGAGTCAAGTGCTTCAGATGGAAGTGAGGTGTGATATGAACCGTGGTGTGTGTGTGTGTGTGGTGGAGCATGCAGAGCTGAGATTACACAGTGGGGTCAAACCTTGATCTGTTGGATGGGTTTTCGATGATTGTAGTTTCTAAAAACAGCTTCTCCACAGCTCCAAGTCACACTTTCATCCGGAAACCTTCTCTCCGATCTACATCTTGTTTTAACTCAAGTTACTTGTTTTCCACATGAACTGATTGTTATGTTTACATTTTTAAAAAGTGAAAATAGAAGGGCATCTCTGGAGGTTTTGTTTTCAAACTGGTTCTGGTTGAGTCGCACTCCCAATAAATTCAATTAAAATCTTCTCAAAATAAGAAGGAAAATGTAAAGAGTAGGTTTTATTTTGGTTCTGGGGCAAATTTAACTGCCACACAACACGAAAAAATGTTAGTTTTACTGTAATGATTACAACTGAAGGGGAAGTCAGGAACCACAGCTATTGTTGGCTTGCATGAGTTGAAGAGACACATTTTGTCCTGTAGCAGTGAGAGGGACGCCTGATGAAATCCAGTCAAACCAGAGGTACAGTAATCCAGGCGCGAGGTGATAAAAGTGTGGATCAGCGTCTCTCTGTGGCGTCGAGACATGACAGAAAGCCAGTGGACTGGACCGCGGCGCTGAAAGTGAGTCAACTTTTAGGCTGGGATCCTTTTTTACACCAAAGTTTTAAAGTGTTGGGTTTTTTAGGTCGAAATCTAAAGAAGAAAACCTGCTGAGCCTGAAGGCAGGGGCTGTTTATCATCTTTTTGAGTAAAAAAAAATGTTAAAATTGAGAGGATCTTTGAAAATACAAAATAAAAAACCTAAAATACATAAACAAACGATGCTTAGCCTGATGATTGCTTTTACTCAGGTAAAAGCAGCAATACTTCATCATATTTTTATTCAAGTCAAAGTAAAAAATTGACATCCAAGAAATTACTGAAGACTGAAAAAGTTAATTAATTATTGATCATTTAATATTTGAAAATTACATCATCAGATGGACCAAAATATAAAGATAAGTAGAAATGTTAGTATTTTTAGGACCAGAATGACAATAACTCATAGAAGTAACAATAAATAATACAAGTAGGTAAAATATTTTTTTTCCAAATCAGTTTCTGTCATTAAAAATATTATGAAACTTCAACAAAAAGTGCAGGTGTGCATCTGTGTCTGGTGAGTTTTTATTTAAAACATGTTTGTTTATAAATCAGTGGGTTGAAAATCTAAAAATTTTATTCAAGTAATAGTAGAAATACTTCATGATAAAATTACTCAAGTAAAAGTAAAACGTATTTGGTGGAAATTTTGTAATTTTTAGTACCAAAATGACAATAATTCATAACAAAAAATAACTACATTGGGCAAAAGATGATTATTAAATTTTTTTTCCCAAAGAATTTGCAGATTAAATTTTGAAACTTTAAAAAGAACTGCAGGTTTGTGTCTGTGTCTGGTGAATTAATGGTTAAAACATGTTTGTTTTTCATTCAGTGGGTAGAAAATCCAGATATTTTACTCAAGTAACAGTAAAAAGTACAGCATAGTAAAAATACTCCTAAAAGTACACAAGAAGTTATGTCAGCAAATGTAACTAGTTCCTGCCCTAGAACTGAGCCCTGAGGTTCTCCCAGGTTGAAGAAACTGGACCTGGAAGCTGATGGGAAAAAAGAAACTGTGTTTTTCTGCTGCTCTGCCTCTGTTTGC